CCCTCAGCTGAAGTAAGTAGCCAAAACTTTCCACAAAGATTCTACAAGCAGGAGTTTATAATGAGGATCAGAAGATGACTTTCTGAAGCTGCCAACCCTTTTCATTTCAGAGAAAAAAGCTTCTATTCAGCTACTTCACTGAGATCTTAGGGATCGATATCTATTTCTTTTACATCCAATCATCTGTCACCTGATGTCCCTCAAGATTTAAGATTATGATTTCAAATTACTGTTGAATTTGTCCGTTAATCGTCTGTTAATTACTCTTCTAACTGGCCAACTAAGAGATTCAAATATCCACTCTACATCCGTTGTTGAATATGTCTATTCATAGCTACAACAGCTACCTACAAAATTTACATTTAAGCTTTCAACCGGACCCCTGCTGAATTGCACTGTTAGAGGAGACCTGCTGCTTTGCTGAGTATTTGAGGCAATATTTAAAGAAACCAAAAGAATAAGAGCAAGGCAAATAAAACTCGAGGACAGTTTATGTCAGTCACCGAGGTTATGGAAGATGACAGTAAGATACTTAGGGTCAATCTTTATGACTTTTAGCCCTCGTTTAATGGTAGAATTATTTTATTTTCGTTAAAGAATATTGCACTTGGTTTTCCCCCAAGGAAATTACTTGCCTTCAATAGATAGATAGGTAGAAAGATAGATGAGACTTTTTCACCAGGGCCCATTTAAGCTTGTAAGACTGCTCTGGATGTGACCCAAGAGGCAGGTTTGTTTGTCTGCGAGGAAGCCTTGAAAAACCCCTGCACTTATACCAGGACATCTATTTTCTGTGCTGCTTTGTGATCCCAGAAAAGAAGCAGATCGAGCCTGGCAGCGCGGAGCTATATTGCACAGATCGATGGCTCCAAAGAGACAGAAGTTGAAAGAAAAAGAGTTCTCTTGCTGTTTCATTGAGAAAGGTGTAGAAAGTGCTCTAAAAGGTGGTTACGTGCTAAATGTCGACCAAATGAAGCATGGAGAGGAAATGGATGGCACTGGTGAGAGAGCCAAACTCTGAGCCCTAGCAACAGCGCTGAACTCCAGCTGGCCCCGCAGAGGGGTAAGTAATCCCCTCTTTTCACAATATAAGGACAAAGGTGCTCACAGAAAAGAAACCAGGGGAAGAAATGGGACGTCCCCTGGGCTGCAGAAGAATGAGAGGAAGTTTCATCAAGGAGCACTACGGTTTCTTGCACAAAGTGAGAAGGTGAGCCAGCCCCAAAAGGCAGCAGCCTGGCATGCTGTGGATGGCTGTCATTAGGCACTGTTTGTGCTCAGCTTTTGAGAGAGCTTTACATGTGGCAGAGCAGGGCTCTGCGCAGTCAGAGCTTTGCCCACCTACAGGTACTGGTTTCTAGAGTACGTTGATAGTCGACTCAACTCATAGTCAACTCCTAGATACAACCCATTTTTCTTGAAAAAACTCCATGATCATAGAGGTCTTCTAGTTGCCTGTACCAGGAGCATGCACATATTCTATATGGGGGTTGTTACGTTAGTCACATGGGGGAAAACAACTTTTTCTGAGATGAGTTGCCATCTACAGGGGTGCTCTTCAGTTTGGCTGATCAGCAGGTTGGCTGGCCACCAAGGGCTCGTAGAGGAATGAGCGGTCTGTAAGGGTCAAACTGAGGAAAATTCTGAGAGAAACCTGTCGTACACCAAATAAAACTGGCTTTCTTTGCAGCTGACATAATGGATGTTTTTCTCAAAGGAAAGGAAAGGAAAAGATTTTTTCCTTTCACTGGAACACGTATTCTGCAAATATCTGTATTTGGTTTGTGCTTAATCAGATACAATCTGATTGAGCAGCTGTGAAGTTGGGAAAGCAAACACTAGTGACCTGGTTCTTCTTCTTCCTGCAAAAAAAAGCCAACCAAGGACGATGGCGATGGGAAGTATTTATGATGCAGTGATTGTAGCTTCAGAGAGCAGCCGTCCTCGCGCCACTGCGGAAGAGGTACGTACTTTTCACGTATCTAAGAGCTGCCCAAATACAATCACGGCATTTGTGATGCTTCCCTTCCAGCCCCGTGTCCCCATCCCTGTTTGGGGAGCGGGGGCCGGCGGGAGGTGTCCCGGGGGACGCGGGGTGGCGCTGGGTCCCGACCGGGAACCGGAGGTTTGCGTTTTATCCGATTTCTCACCGCTTCCACCCCCCGGGCTGTCCTGGCATCCCCCGGGCGCTCCGGGGAGCGAGTGCGGGCAGACAGCAAACAGTTAATTTATGGCAGATCTAATTAAACATTTCCGAGGGAGGATGCTGCGCTAGAGACCCGTATTTCGTCTCTTCCCGGCGGGGTGGGATGCTGATGTCCAAGTGTTTCTCCATGAGGACCCGATGCTGTAAACGATCCCGAATTCCTTCAAATCCGGCCGCGCCACCTGCCTCCTCCCCCTCCCCCTCCCGCGGGGGTTCCGCGCCCGCCCCCGGGCTTGCGGCGGGCGGGACGGGCCGCCCCCGCTCAGCCGCCGGAGGGAGCGGAGGGGAGCGGAGCGGAGCGGATCCCCCCCCAAGCTCCGCGCCTGCCCTCCGCGGCGCGGGGGGACACGACGACACCTGGGACCGCCACCTCCGGGGGGACCGGGAGGCGGGGAGCGGTGAGTGCGGGGCGGGGGGGAAAGGAACGACGCGGAGCGGTGGCCGGTGCCCTCACCGGGGCTCCCGGGGGCCGGGCGGGAACGGTGGAGCTTTCCCCCCCGCCCCGGGTCTCTGTGGATCCCCCCCCCCGGAGCCGCCGTCCCACGGGAGAGAGCGCTATCAGCCGCCGCGGCTGCCTCCTGCCGGCCCGCGGGCTCGCCGGGGGCTTTTTTCGGGTAATTTAGAAGGTTTTTATTGTTCCCCGTCCCTCTGCCCGGCGCGAATAGTGGGAGAAATCAGCCGCCGGAGGGAGCGGAGGGGAGCGGAGCGGAGCGGATCCCCCCCCAAGCTCCGCGCCTGCCCTCCGCGGCGCGGGGGGACACGACGACACCTGGGACCGCCACCTCCGGGGGGACCGGGAGGCGGGGAGCGGTGAGTGCGGGGCGGGGGGGAAAGGAACGAAGCGGAGCGGTGGCCGGTGCCCTCACCGGGGCTCCCGGGGGCCGGGCGGGAACGGTGGAGCTTTCCTCCCCGCCCCGGGTCTCTGTGGATTCCCCCCCCCGGAGCCGCCGTCCCTACCATGGATTCCTGTTTCTCTGGACTTCTTTTTTTTTTCCTTTTTTTTCCTTTTTTTTCCTTTTTTTTTTCTTTTTTTTTTCTTTTCTTTCAGTTCTGAGCTTTGTATTCTTTGAAAGTCCAAAGAGCGTGGCGACCAGCAGAGAGGACAGTGAGAATGTCATATCTCAATGAAACTTCGTTGCAGCCCAAAAGAAAAAAGTTGGTGGTTTTTGGGTTGGTGTGGTCTTTTGTTTGTTTGTTTGTTTGTTGTTTTTTTTGGAGGGGGTGGGTTCTGGACAAAACCTCCAGTTGATTCCAAATTCTTGGTTTGACCAGGAGGCTCAAAAATGAACTGTTGATGTAACTCTTCTTTGCGCCCCTGTGAAGCTGCACTTGTATCTCTTCTCTAGTAAGCTGAATACATTTTAAGAATAGTTTAACTTTGTGATGCCAACCAAGGGGTGGAAGTGCTTTACAGTGGCAGTCTCCCTTCCATCGCCTCCTTCCTTCTTCTCCCTTAAATGTACGTGGTTTTGAAGTGCCATTTACTTTGGCAAAGGTTGTTGATTTCTCCTGTCCTGCACTGGCTCTGTGGCACCTGTGCTGAGATTTAGAAATATGAGAACTGTGGAAAGCTTGGTTAAAAAGCTTTGTGGGAAATTAGTTGTTTTCATGAATGTGGTGCCCAGCTGGAAAATCTGGGAAAACTTTAGATGTGCATGGCATAGCCCCTGTTCTCCCTCTTGTCCTTCTACTGATGGAATTACGCTCGTGCTATGGCCAGGACTCCTGCTGTTTCTTACCTCTAGTTGCTGATCTGCTCCAGGAGCACACTGACCTTCTCGGGGGGGATTATTCCTCTGCTGAGGAGCTGCCTCAGTCCCTCATACCTCTCTGCCTGATACCGTTCAGTGGGCTGCAACCTAACCAGAAGGGTCACTTAATGTTATATGTGCTTCTTGTTGTGATGGAGTGAAGTGATCACGTCGCCATGGTCCCAGGCTGCACCCAGTTCAATTATGTACTCAATTATGGCTTTTAACTTTTTCAGGTAGGTTAGCAACAATTTTGCTCCAATGAAAATTCAGATTCTGTATTTCTGAGGAAGTGGTGAAATTCACAGAGACTTGCACAGCTGCCAAGTCACGAAATTCAGAGCCCCGGCAAACAAGGTTCTGAAGAGTTAGTTTATTTTTGGACATCAATACATAATTGACAGTGAAATTATGCTGCTGTAAATATTCTTTTGGCTCCTGCTAACTTAAGGAGGTGTCATGTGTATAGAGTTGAACGGAGTTAGCTCTGTGGCAGTCTCATCTCATGTCCTAAAATGGAACCTTGCTGGTATCTGGAAGCGTGACCCTGATTCTGTATCTGTTAGCTACAAAGTCGGTTCTCTGGAAGATGAGACAACTTTTTGGCAGAGCAGAATATAGATGACTAAGTGCAATTATGTATATTGAAATACAGCACTGATGAAAGGTGGTGTGGATTATCTAGAGGAGGTTTTCAAAAGATGATTTGCATAGTCATATTTCCAAGCCCCGAGGCTTGGAAAAGACACATCCATAGGGAAGCTGGAAAAGCAGGTTTAGGAGGAAGACCAAGGCATATACGTATGTTTATGTAGTACAGGTGTTCTGGAAAACATTCTTTGGGTTTGCAACTTGCCAATTTCCATAGCATGCATTCTCCACTCAGTCCCAACAAAACGTGCTGAGATTTTGACTTTTATGGTGCATCAGTTGTTGGAGAGCTCTGATGGGTAGCTGAGGCTCTCCTCATCTTGTTTGTTCTGTCTAAGCAGTGGTGCAACAGTGACACTCTTGAACTGAAAGCCTGCATCTCACTTGCTTCAGGTGCAGAGAGCCGTCTGTGCTGTGAGGAAGATCGTAGAATGCCTTGGAATGAAGAGCAACAGAAAGGACCTTCAGTTTGGGGAGCTGTCTCAGACACCACCCGGGCATAAAGTAGCCTTCACAGAAGAGGTAATTATAGCCAAATACTTCTAATAAAGCAGCAAAACCAAGGATGAGATTTTAACTGCCACCAGAGACAACTGATGCAAAATAACTTTTATGAAAGGAAAAAAGTGCCCCTTAGAGAAAAGTGGCTACCCACTCTCTGTATAATCATCAGAGATGGCTTGTTGCTGGAGGCTCAGTTCTGTGTAGCACGTCGCTCTTGCTTTCTCTTTATTGCTTTTTGTATAATGGATGTGACTGCTGTCATCTGAGTTTACAGATGTTTACAGCATGACGTATATGTTCTTTCCTGCGCCCAGGTCTCTGGAGCCACCCTCGGTGCAGTGATGGGTGGTGTGCTTCTTGTCCAGAGTGTGTGGTTGTGGAAGAGGAGGGATGAGTCACTTCCCCTTTGGGCAGTGATGACTAACTGCTGCTCCTTTGGGAGCAGTGACACGGGGAAGCTACCACACCAGCAGTTAAGCACCCAGGGAATCATCCCCTCAAATCGTCTCTCTGCTGACCGTCTGATGTAAAAACAGTTTATTAAGTCACATGATTAAAAGCTTTTACAGCTCCTGGAGGACCAAAGCTCATAAGAAGTTAATAAGAAACAGAAAAGTACTTTGTTTTCTACCAGTTTTTCTAAAATTGTGCTGCTCCTGAAATGTAAATCCTAAAATGAACAAGCTATTCCAGGGTTTCCAGACTTGTTTTATAAGAGTTATTAGGGATTAAGCTATAAAAACAAGTACTTATATGAGATAGTCTTAAAGAATAAGGTATAAGGAATTAAATTCATATATGTGTAATTTCTTTTAGTGTACATGTCTTAAAGCTGCATAGAAACCTCCTGCTTTACTAAAAATACTGTGTAGCAGACATTCAGAATCCAGGCTGGATACAAAATGTCTGGGGTTTTTTAGTCTTGTAAAAGGTCTGGGAATAGCATGAAATATTTCATTTTGAAGCATAGATGAGTCTACATCCCGATCTTAAACAAAAAGTAGAGAGAGACTCTAATCCAGATCAGACTCCTACCTTTGCAATAAAAATTCTCTCAAAATTGCATTTGAAGCTCTGCTTTAAATCCATGGTGGATCCATGCTTAGTACAAAAAGGTGACTTCATGGGTGTAAAAGTGTTGCACTACTCTTTCCAGATCCTGTGTCATGTCTGTGGTCCTGCCCCTAATTATCTGGGACTCTTTCCCAAAATTTTGAGAAGCATTGGCTCATCAAAATAATATTTTTTTAAAATGGAAATACAAAAATTTACTCAGAACTAGAGTAATTACAGATCCAGGATCAAATATTGCATTGAGGAAGAGACCAATCTAGTGGTCCATGTCCATACTTGGGATTCAGAAGACCCAAATATAAGGCCAGGACAGTGAAACAGGTTTCACAGGACAAATTTAGTTGTTACTCCTGCATTTCTATGGAAAAATTGAAGTTTCAAGAAGAAAATAAGTGTGGGCCATTTATGGCGCAGTATTTCAGATACTGTGTATAAATACTGATGGCAATGACAAAAAGAATGGTTTTCATCCTCCTGTCTTTTAGTACTTTGTTAGCAGCACTGAGGTTTCAGGCTGGTCATTATCTCAGCAGTTTGATCTTGAGAGGCAGCGGTTGTGAATAGGGGCAGGGATAGAACCGCGACTCTCCTGCCGAGAAGGAAATCTCCTCCTGATTGAAACCCGGGACAAAACTCCCATCGACTTCAAAGGAGAAGGATTTCAAGCACAGCAACCTGAATGCATCTGAAATCCACTGTTGGGCAGTCTGGAAAGGTCAAGGTTTTTTCAAAGATTAGTAAGGGAGAGAAAAAGGCTGAGAGCGGATTGTGAGCAGCGTAAAGAAAAGAGGAAGTTGACAACTAAGTTCACAGTTCGTTGCTAAATCTGTGTTTATTAAGGAAGCTGATTTTTTGTGAAAGCTAATGCAGGCATTCAGCTGGCTTAGGTATTTCTGCTTAAAATGAGAATGGGATTATTTCTCCTTTGGTTCAGTGTTATGGAAAAAAAACATTTAAGATTTGGTTGTCACAAATGGCATCTGTAGCACTATCATGGGTGTTTCCTTAGCCTGCATATTCTGCAGAAAGTAGCCAAAAATTCCCAGCAGTAGCAGCTGCTAAAGTTTTCAACTTATCTAGTAACTTCCAGTGTCCATGTGTTGCTTATCTGTCCTATTGCTAAAGACTTTTTTTTTTTTATATCACAGAATCACAGAATGATATGGGGTTGCAAGGGACCTTAAAGTTCTTTAAAATTTATTTTAAAATTAAAATATTTTAAAACCTTTTGCAAAGGAGAGACTAAATGAGCAATGAAAGTTTAGATATTTTTGACATGAATTTAGTGCTTGCTCAGTATATAAAGTGTTTCATTTATAGCCTTGATATGTAATTCTGGTCTCTGAGCTCCAGTGACATCTCATACCCCAACACTTGAACAAGTGTTCAACAACAGAAGAATAACCTCCCAAAATGTCAGTTTTGCTTCTCTTCTCCATACTGGGGCAAACCCAAACTCTACCACATTTATGAAGTGTGGTAAGTTTAAGGGGTGTATTATGTTAAGGGAGTGTAACTTCCTTCGTGAAGCCACAAGTGAACTCATTAAATGAATGTCTTGTCTCACGAGTCTGTAGGGAGTGCACAGGAAGTGTAAGGCTTGGATGGAGGAGTGTGAGCTTCAAAGTGCTGAAGAAATTGTTTGTTACTCTGTCAGTGCCCAATAAATTAAGTCTTGGGAGAGGGGTGATGGTTAAAGCAGATAAACAGAAGCACTGTGCTACTCATCCTGGCTTCTCTAGCTGGGATCCTGCTTGCACATCACAGTTCAGTGATAATTACAAAGCAACAGGTAAGCTGAGGCTGCTCTTGTGCTATTCAATGCCTGCACTGCCAAAACAAGCAAAACTGAACCCTAAAAGCAGACTCTGAGTTTGTAACTACTTGTGCAAGAGCAGACTTACGTCACTGTTTTCCTTGTTGCTTCCCTTTCTGTTAGTTTTCAGTTTCTGGTTTGTAAATCACTCCAGCAGAGAGAGGAGTAAGCGGGACATGCTATGGATGTGGCAGCACATCTTTAACTGTGCTAAGCCCTAAAGCTGAGTTCACAACAAGGGATCCCTCTCCCTGAATTCTGTAATTCAGAGTTTACTCACTGATTTTGGTGTTTGGCGATAAAATACTTTCAGCCTTACAAGGGCCTGAAGTGACTGAAATCCCTACACTGATGAAGATATTTTTCCAGAAGCTCACTTGGGAGGCTGATGTGAAGTTTTAATTAATCTGTCCGTGTCTTGGACCCAATTTGGCAAAGTACTTTGATTTGAGCATGTGCTTCATTTTAGAGTGTCATGGCAAATACTGACATACTTTAAGTTCCTTCATGCTGTCCTGAGCAGAACTCTGTACTGACAAGGTTTAAGAAACAACGTGGGGAGAAGTTGGGAAATGTTTCTGTAATGAAAGAAGAAGAAGGATTTAAAGGCAGTGCGTGAAAAAAAAATCATAATTAGCGTTGTAAGTTTACATCACAGAAAAAAATATCTTTCCAAAAGATACTTCCTTTCCAAGACACTTCTCTGTCACCTGGAGTGTTTAATGTGAACTAAACTCTTATTATAAAAGGTATCTCATTGTTTTCAATTAGATTAGTACTAATCTCAAAAGATGGCATCAAAAAGGAGCGTGTCGCTCATCATTGGGGTGTGCATCTATTGCCTGTAGGAACAGCAGTAACATGAGCTATGGCCCAGAGAACTCACACTTCAATAAACCAAAGGTTTGATTTCAGTTTGGGACTGACTATGTACAGAGATGTTGTTGGATAACTGAAGACTTAGGATCCTGTCAATAGGAAATGATTTTGAAGGTCCTGGTCAGGGTCAGGTTCTTGCTGTATGTCATGGCAATGCAGCAGATGTGCCAGGCAGAGCAGTGTAGGTGAGCATGGAGCTAAAACTGGGGCAGAACAGACGAATTAGCTTAGATAAAAGGACTGAATGGGGGGAAAAATAGAATGTGACAGGGAGAATGTAAACTTTAATGATCCATTAATATTTTATTTAAATGCTTTGTTGCTCATTGTTAGTTTTTCTTTTTGTAAACACCAGTAAAGTGTAATAAAAATGTATTTTAAGAAATCTATTTCATATTTATGTTAATTGACAGCATTCATTCAAATACCAAATTACCATGTGACTAACTTATTAGAAAATTAAACAGTAAATTGCAATTTTTTCACATCTGGAATCATGGAATAATTGCAAGGAACCGTTCAAAGGACCTGCTACCAATAATTTCTGAGAGGGTGTTCGGCTGGGATTTTGATTAGTAAATACATCTGGAAGTGTGATCTGTGTCTTCATAAACAGCCTTTTTAGCTCTATTTTCAGGATTTTTCCTTATGATTTTTTCTCTGATGAGAACTAAATTCCCAATGTCAGTGTTGTTCATCAAGAAGATCTCTGCGCTCTCACAGTACAGTACTTTATTTGAAATTTGAATATTTTTTTTTGTATTTTACAGACAAGAACCTAATTCCAGGGCAGCACTACGTACTATCGAGTCAATGGTTATTGGGTGGTCACATCAGATTCATGATGCTGTGAGTAAGGACACTGCCAAACCTCTTCTGCATGGCCTTCATCCATACCCCTAAACTGAACTGAACTTCTGGAAAGCAAGAAAAGAGAATCCTTTACTATATAAAAAGCAAGTAAGTGATTTCCAATATTATTGTACACATCAAGGAGAACTTTCTTTTGGTTTGTCTGAAACAGGCTGAACAACATCACACTGAAAAATGAGACACTAAAGTGATATTTTTTTGGTTGTTTTATTTATGCAAATAGTTTATAATGGTTTCCAAAAGTAATCAGACTTTGCATAAGTTGACAAAGAAAAACAGAGTGAAACATTAGAGGACACTGGAAGGGGCAGTGGAGAACAGAGCCCTCTCCAGAATGTCAAGATGCACTTTCAGTGCCAGACTAGTCAGGAGCATTATCTGACCTCTTGTGGTCAGACCTGGCCTGTCTCTTTAAAAGGACTGTAGGCTTCACAATTTTTTTTTCTTTCATTTCAAGGTAGAATTTCACATTTCCATAACCTCGGTGTTTGCAATGATTCCTGCTTCTCCTCAGCCTGGTTGCCAGCAGTAGGAGGAACAACAGACTGATTATAGAAAGCCGTTAAGTGTCCGTAACTACCAGAAGTGGAACGGGAACCATCCTGTCCACTTAACAGAGCCTCTGTGCAGTTTCGTATGCAATCTTTGGCTGCAACATGCCACTCAAACCTACATATCTTTCTCTTCTAAATAAGATAACTTGCATTCTTCATCAAGGTTAGGTTAATCTGGAAATGATCATCTCTTAAGCTGTAGTGTTTTTCCCTTTTATATTTTTACAGCACTTGTAGAAGACCAAGGTCTTCATTCTTGACAATCAGATGGTCCCACAGAGAGCAGGTCCCTGTGTGACCAGTGTCCCTTCAGGGTGAGGTGGCAGCAAAGTCTTTGTAGATGATAATACTGAGCCTTAGGGGTCTGCAGTCCACCAGGAGTCTGCTCGAGGAACCCGCGGCTCATTTGGTTCACTCCTGAAGAGAACGGGTGTTGAGCGTTTCTGAACACACAAGGAACTAGTTATTTTCATCCCTTTGGGGCATAAAACAATTACTTCATTCAAGTGAAATCAGAGACCATAGAAATTCATTTGGCACATGTAACAAAGGAGGTTAAAGTAGGTTCAATTTTACTCCTCCGAGAAAGATTTACGTTTAATTTTCATAGCAACATTTTTTGTTATGATAATAAATCATCTGTTTATACATGAAAGTATGTGTTTAGTAGTGCTTGGGGTTTTTATTTTTTTTATTGTCTAGGCTGCTTTTAACTTAATCTGGTAAAAGTAAAATGGAGTTACGTTTGTATGTTCTAGGGGACAATTTGTTTCCTCTTGTATTTTTGTATTTGTATCTTTTAAGTGGCTCAACCAGAATAAAGCCTTGCTGGAATTACCTGTTGCTCCACTGCTTTTTTTCATATTATTTGTTTTAGATGGCACATTTTATAACTTCTCATTCTGCCAAACTGGAAGAGAGAAAGTCAAATGAGGCAAAAGCCATCTCAAACATCAGGTTTGTTACTGTTTGTTTTAGGGGCATACTGTTAATTAATTTTCATTAATTTGATCTAGGAAATTTTCATTAACATGTTGGAATTTCAAAAGATGGAAAAGCTGGAGTCTGGAATCAAGGGGAAAAATTTAAATAAGTGGATCTGCTGAACGAATGAAGAGTTTCTGGAAAGCTGTGAAGATTTCAGAAAGAGACCATGCGATCCTTCAGATCACAGTAATGTGGTAATATCGCAGCCTTGTTTATTTTAAAGTGTCTGTGAACTTGGAGGTTGGGAAACTGGGAATTTTATAGTCCTGAATGGAATGAGGCATGAGATGGGCTTCCAAAACAACTGCACAGGTGGGTTCAGTCTCTACCAATTCTTAAACCAGAAATTATTTTTTTTAAGAAAAGAATTCTGGACACTTTCTCTTGATCAGATAACTGAATTATTTAGAAGTGCCACATGTGGAGAAACATTCAGATAGCTCTCACCAAAGACATGTGAGTGAATAAATCACACAAAAAACCCAAATCACCCAGCTGCGTAGTTAATGGGTGCCCCAGTAATGGGTGCTCTCTTCTTTGCTCTCCTGATCCAAATAGTCACCATCACAAGTGGGATTCAGTCACCCCAAATAATCTGGGTTAAAAACATACTTTTTCTAATCTGCTTGCTGGCTTAACTCCAGTTAAATGAATTTCTTCTCTATCAGATGACCAATTTTTATTTTTTTTAACACTTACACCCACCCATTTTCTCCCCCCAAAAACCCTCAAGCCAGCTGATTCCCTTAGATCTGTCCCTGCCATTTCCCCATGTTCCTCACAGCCGGGTACCCAGGGGCTGTACTGGGATTGCAGGTGATGAGGAGGTGGGCTCAGCCTCCCAGTGGGTGCGAGCTTTGCTGGTCTTTGGGACCCCAGACCTGCTGCCTGATATTTTTGACAGCGCAGTGAGGAGAGAGAGCATTGTGTGTGCAAGGAACACATTTTTGGGTAAGGTTATTTTAACAGGCGAATTTTCTCAAACGGACCCAAATCTTAAAGTTGTTATTACTAAATTAATATACATAATAATAATGTAGTTATTAGCAGTATGCAGAAATTTACTGTTCTGTTAGATGTGGTAGGAAATACATTTTGTGTGTATGCACACTGATTTTTTTTGCAAATATGTGGTTTAATCTAGGTAATTAAAAACCCAGAGGAATGGTCGTAAACCAGATTTGAACTAAATGAATGACACAGGTTTAACACATGTAGAACCTTTGCAAAGTTGTTACTGTCTTTGGGGTAAAACCCTGGTACTGCTTTAAAATCCATAGCAAAGCTTCCCGTGTCTTAAGGTCAGGACTCACTATACTGTACTTCTAAATTTCATCGCTCCTGATAAAATCCCTTACAATTCGCACTAAATTCCTGCTAATCCCTGCACAAAGCTACAAAGCTGCCTCAGAAAGGAGAAGTCAGTGGCAGCAGAGACCTGCTGTTTTTCTTTTTTTCTTTCTCACTTTCTGAGGCAGCAGGATGCTCTGAAGCCTCCTTGTCTGCGGGAGAGGTGGTTTCAAGACACTCTTTCTCAGGTCTGTATGTAGTTTGCTTTACCTCTGTGGACGATTCCCTGCATAAAAATGTATATATTCCCTGTATATAAATATAAATGTTGGTGAGATGCTTGAATTATGGTTTAAAGCTGCTGGGTAAAGTGCAGCAATTATTACATCTGGCCAGATGAGGATTGTAAAATGGTTTGAGCTGATCTGTTTTTGAGGCAACGAGTCCTCCCTTAGTGACTTGACTGACTGAGGACAAAAAGCAGCCTCGATAGCACACTTCCGAATGATCATTCTGCATTGTGAGTGTGTTGACTTTCCAGCTTACTGCCAAGTAAAGCATAGTCAGTGATTATTAGTTTTGAAGTTTGAGTCACTCTTACTCACGTATATAGGCTTAGTGTTGACAGAAGTACAAGTGGAATACCAAGCACCAATTACCGCGCTGTTTTCAATGTCATCGCTAAATTATTTCTTTTTTCCAGGTTCTTCAGAAACTATTTGCCTCCGGGTTTGACAGTACTAAACAGGAGCTTTATCAAGCAACAGCTGTCATCTTACAGCTAATTTGTTTCTCAGAAGCTTCAAGGTTCATGCTGTTCAGTGTATGATAGTGAATATTGGCCACATATTTCCATGAACAAGTTTTATACACTTCTGAATAGGTAACGTGCAGTATGTGTCTGGTTAATATGTGGATGCAATTGCCCCAAATCCAGGACAGAGCTGTGGTGTGACTCAGGATCTGACCCTGAAGAGGACCAAAGGGTGCTTAGCTTTCAGGACACAGATATGGGCTTCTCAGACTCATTGTTTTAAATGATTTTTTTTTGATGTGTAAAATATAGGTGTTTTAAAAACGTATCACACCCAGTCACAGAACTAAATCTGAATTTCTTTATTGGCTATGAAGAAGTGCATGTAGTTCATCTGTCCTGTTTTGGGTACATATGTGTGGTTTTGTGAAGTGTGTTTAAAAACCAAACAAAACAAACCCACATTGACTGGGGAGGAGGGAGTTAGAAAGTAAGAAGATTCTTAAATAAACCTTTCCAAAGAGGCTGGATTTAATTTAAATGTCCAGTTTGGCTACTAATACTTCTATTTTACTTTTTCTGAGTGGCTTGCAACAGAAAAGAGATTTAGCCATGATGGAAAGAATAATGTTTTCTCAGAGATGATCAAAATTTAACTGAGGGTTGGATACCAGGGGGAGCTGTCAACCTGCATCTTCCAGACTGTGGATCCAGTTGCCTTCCCATGGCTTGTCTTCTACCCGGCAGCCTGGTCTGTTTTGAGACATTTGAGGTCTGTATGGTGTCCCTTTCATAGTCCCTCAAATAGCTGTTCTGCCAAGCCAAGTGCATAGTATCACATGTGGGACGATAGTGGGATTTCATCCTATGTCTTTCTTTTCAGGGAACAGTCTGTTGGAAACCTTGATCTCATCGCTCTCAGCTGCACAACAGACTGACACAGACTGCTCTGGAGGTATAACATCCTCTGATGGGAAAAGAGCTGAGAACGACTGATGGCCTGCTAAAAGGAGCAGAAGAGACTCGCACGTGGTAGCAACAACCTGCCAGGACTGCCATCAAGCAAGTGGAAATGTCAGTGTGTGATTTGGAGCAGAGAGTTCAGCAATCAAAGGACACGATTAGATCAATCCGAGGAATTGCGAGTGCTCGAAGGGAACATGCCCTCTTTTTCAGCAAAGGTAAAAAAGAAAGCTCTATTATACCTGGATGACAAAGACTTGCTAAAATAGACGAAATGCTGCAAGAAGATAGCTACCAGATCTGTCATCTTGTTGGGGTGATGGCCAAGGGAGATGTATTTTCATGTGGTGATACGGGTGTTAAATATTGAATATTAATACTTGGTCACCTGTGTGGCTTTGTTCAATTAATTGTGAAATTGCACAAACTGCCTAAAAGTTCTTTAAGACTGAAGGTTTGAAGGCAAATCGGGAGAGCAGAGAACAATTTTGGCGATGTTTGAAAAGAACATTAATGCTTTGCTAGATTGGGAATGAGTGGCAGGCTGCAGTCACAACAGTGCTGCTGTCTCATTTTTGTTACCCTGAGTTATGTTGTTCCTGTGATCCCCACAGGTAATTGTCCTGGCAAATTGTCCTGAAACGCTTTTTTGCACTAGATATATTGTGAAATAATTCTGATATGTGTACTTGAAAACATAAAACAGGTAATTTAATTCACCAATATACTTATGAATGCTAAATCAAATTATAATATCCTTAAATACGAACTGTTGTGTTACATGACTACAAGTGGCTGAGCTGTTGGAAGGGACCTTTGAGATCATTGAGTCCAACCATCAATTTAACACTGACATGAACACAGAAACACGGGGTTTTAGCTCTTTGCCCTGTTTTGCTAGTTTTTGAGGGACCTACCCCTGTGTCTACTGCAACAAATTCTTGTGTCCATTATCAGCATTAATCTTAGTGTTACCATCTGGAAAGTACCTTTTAGTTCAGTTTCAGCCCTAATTTTATTTGTATTGCTGTCTTTGTTTATACTGTTGATAGTTATTTTAAAAGATCAAAATAAGAGCTTTTTTTTTTTTAACATTTATCAACAATGCAGAACAAACATGCAGAAGTATTCTTACAAAATGTGGATATTCCAGAAAAGTTACTGTATGGTATGACAGTTTTCTGCCAGCCTGTAATCTCTTCAATGCAGGGATACCTTCACCCTTGCACTGAGTTTTGCTGGTGTAAATGCAGCTCCAGGGAGGTTCAGGAGTTTCCTGCACTGAGCAAGGTATGGTCCAGGAGCACACTTGAAACAAGAACTGTTAAAGTGGTTTTTTGCAATATAATATATAAACTAATACTGAAACAAGGTGGTGTATTGAGTGAAGATATACATTAACACAACCATTTATTAAAGTATTTTTCAGATGTTTTTAATTTTTTTGCTTCTTTATGGAAGTTAAAAGCTCTTCCAAGCAGATTCCTCCTCAGCCTCTCAGAAGGTTTAGATAGAGTACATTGATAACCTTGTGGTCAATGGTTCATATAACACCATAATGTGTTCTTTAGAGTTCTTTTTCAAGAACACAGAAGACAGTTTGAAGTCAGCTCCACCTTTCAAGCACAAAAGATCCTTAGTGGCACAGAGATTCAGTTTAAACCTTCTCCAGATAAAGAGGCTGGTGGTGGCGTCTATGAATTAGTACATGAATTCCTGGGTGATGTTTTCCAAATGTCTGCTCAGGTGGAAAGGGTAGCGGCACACCTGGGATCAGAATATTACCAGGTAAGTCTTCTCCTCTTGTGTTTGAAAATAATGAATCCAATGAATTGTAAGCTGCAAGAAGTTTATTTTTAGTTGCAAACTCATTTAATAGCATCAGTCTTCAAATCCTGAGCCTCATCTGCTCTCTCAGTTGTGCAGTTTACAGAGGCGTAGTCCTGTTAATTTCTGAGGGCTTACTCATGCTTTCACCCACTTCTGCACCCATGAGCAGCAGAATGAAGTTGTCCATTTTACGCAAAGCTAATTAGATTAGCTGAATATTTCTCTCTCAGTTCCTGTGCCACGAGCTTCTACCTTGGGTGCCGTGTCGAAACCTGTAAATCTGCACATAGTGGAAACTTAATCTTTTGGATATGTACAGGAATATCCACTAAACTGATAATCAGAATTATATATAGTCCATGAAAAGTTCAGCTTTGAATAACTTGCAAAGGGTATGTATTCAGTTTGGTTTTATGTGTTCGTATGATGAAATGTAAACCCAGAATAGTAACAGCTTGAGTGAATTGTGATTTTTCTCGTTAATTGATCTCTGGGGAAAAGGGGTGGAATTCCAGTCTTTCATCTGCTGGGACTAAAAGAAGAGCTTACTAAGCTGTGGCTTTATGATCAACCCCTGTGTATGAGAGACCTTGGTCTGGTCTGTTTTGGGAGATACGCCACACTGTAAAGAGTACTAAATAGAATTGGGTAAAAGTTCAACTACTGTTTTTCATCAGATAATCTAACTAGTGAAAATGAAAACTTCTCACCAGTTTCTGTGAGTTTTCCAGTCAACAGTGGAATTTCTATTTCTGTGTCTGTCTGGTCCAAACCAGACGAAGGGGTTGGCTGGGAAAATAACTGTAAGACTTTTGATGTATACCTTAAACTAGTCTTCTAGTTACTTTCAAGTGGCTTGACTTCAGGCTTCTCTTTCTTGTACTTTCTTTTGACACAGACAAAAAAAAAAGTCAAGGTATTTTTTTCGTTGTGATGTAATGGGTTTTTCTGAAGGGTTTACTGACTGTTTTTACTAGGTATCAAGGGTTAAATTTTAAAAATCACCATCAAATCTAGGTTTTTCCTTGTTTCTCTTTCAATGTTGCGTATGCTCACTGATTTAAAAACAAATAAAAATTAAGAATACCCACACATGTTCTTTATAGATCTTCTTTTTAAAAGTTAGCACAATGTGCTCTGAATAGAATTGTCTAGAGTGGAATATTTAGTGGATCTTTAAAACATAGGGACTTTGTTAGCATTTGTACAACTTCAAAGTAACGAGAAGTCATTTAATAAGTTAGGAGATTCATTCCAAGAGTATAAATTAACTGTGGGTTTTATTTTTATGGTTCAAACGTAGAGTGCCTGATATGCCTTTTGTGTGCTTTCGCAGGCAATGCAAATGTAGGTTTTTAACTTCTTTGCAACAATGGCTCTCAGCTTTTCTTACATTGAATCATGTATATATCCTGTATACTTTTCACTGCCAGGTTTAGATAAGCTCAATATACCCTATAACTGTACTTTACTGACTATTCTTTTCCTCTTCAAGGAGCATCTGTGTATTATCAGTGGATATAAGTATGTGTTCAATAGTGCGAGAAAGGTGTGCATCTCAGAAACTGGAGTATTGCAACTGTTTAAATGCTTGGCTTTTGGGTTGAATTTTGAGAAGCTGGATTATTTTACATGCTTTCTAGCTAGTGGTGGTGTAGGGTTGGAAAAAACAAGGTCCAGGAGCTATTGCTGTGTGATGAGCTTTCCCCTGCATCCATTTATCTGTTATATAGCAGAAGCTTGTCTTTACCAAATGTTGTTGACACTTTTATCTGTACTTTCTGTTTCAGAGCAACGTTGATGATTGGGCTAAAACCCAGTGGAGACAGATTAATGTGGAACAGATGGATGTGCAGCTCAGAAGCTTTGCCAAGGCAGGTTCCATAGCTGTCTTTTTCTGCAATTTATCTGTCTTGGTGCCACCTCTTCCTCGCTCTTCCCACCCACTTTGATGTTTCAGTGGATTTGTTACTCGCGTCCAAACTGAATGTTCTGGAACATGTTTTGTTTTGGGGGCTTTTCTTTAAAACTTTACTCTTCTGGACAGGTTTCCATTCCTCATAGAAGTATATGGTCAAAGCCATGCTATCACTTCTCTGAATTGAGGCAGTGTGTGAAAGAATAAAGAAGGTGGGATTTTAAGACAGACTAAAGTAATTCTTTTTAGATAAAGGTGGAATTTGCAGAGATTTATCTGCTCTACCCTTAGACACAGCTCCAGTGTTGGGAGTTGCAGCAACGATACTCATATTTGAAGGGAGGGCACTTCCTTTGCTTGAAGTATTTGCAATGTTTTGTTGATAGTAGCGCTGCAGAAGAGCATTCCAATGGGACAAGCGAAATACAAAACAAAAAAATAGCAATAAAGGCCCCCAGACTATTTGCAGGACACTAAAGGAACAGCTGTGATTCATAGACAGAATAGCAGCTGCGTATGGAAGGAGGAAAGCCTTAAACCTAGTGGGTATTAAGTTTCTTCTTTATATGTTTGCTTCATTCAGGAATAAATAGGTTTCATCACGTGCCCAATTAGTAGTGCTTTAAGAGAAGAACCAGACTTACAGCAGATGTCTTGGCTTAAACTGCTTCAAAATTATGATTCTGGGGGTCATAGGCTGTGATAGGGGTGGTAAAAGTGAGGAGAAGGTTGAGATTGAATGCTGCAAAAGCAGAAGGGAAATGCAGCAATGTGGCACATATGCCAGGTCACGGAATGGAGAAGATGCTGCTCACTGTATGTGAGCTGATCATTTGTGTCATGTTTGTCACGCTCCAGTGTGCAGATTAATCTCTTACCCCTCTGAACAGTGGCTTTTACTTTATCAAATTTATGGATACTTTTATCTGCAGTGAAATAATTAATAAGAAAATTAGACTTAAATCATTAGGGCTGTGGTAAAGTAAAAGGCTCTGATCCAATTGTAATCATAAAATCACTGTGTAAATGCAGTGTTGATACAGCTCCATTACTTTAAGTGCCGTACTGGAAAGTCCATTTCCAGGACCTTTTTAATATCTGCCACATAGACCAATGACCCCAATGAAATCTTTCCTAGACTCTCCCAGATAGCCACACGTGAAACAGGAAAGTAGAGTTTTCTGACAAACATTTCTGAAAGTTATCAACAAGTTGTCTGTTAATGGCAAGTAATTATTACAATTATTTTAATCCTATTCCTTAGGAAATGTGGTCTCTATCTCAAACTAGGACAGGATAAAAAAGTTTGTTCCTGGGATGTGTACTGAGGCTTGGAGTTAAAGGTGAAGAATCTGAGCTGAGAGAGTTGGAGTTGAGGTTGTTCAGCTTGAAGAAGACTCTGGGGAGACCTTATAGCAGCCTTCCAGTACCTGAAGGGGGGCCTACAGAAAAGATGGGGAGGAGCTGTTTGCAAGGGCATGTAGCAATAGGGTGAGGGGCAATGGTTTTAAATTAGAGCAGGGTAAGTTTAGATTAGACTTTAAGAGGAAGTTCTTCAGAATGAGGGTGGTGGAGGCCCCATCGTTGGAGACATTCAAGGTCTGGCTTGATGAGGCTCTGAGCAACCTGATCTAATTAAAGATGCCCCCGCTTACTGCAGGGGGGTTGGACTAGATGACCTTTAAAGGTCCCTTCCAACCCAACACATTCTATGATTCTATGTCGTTGCTGAGAGCAATACTGACTGGAGTTGCAAATCCTGCAATCAGAGAAAGACACTGGTACCAGGTCATGAATGTGACAAGAGTAAGTATTCAGCCAAAGAGACCCTGGTGATGGTCCCTCATGCTCTACCCATAGATGCAGGAGTGCTGTTAGGCATGTGGTGGAGCCACTGCTGCCAACTATTCACCATGGAAGTGGAGCAGGCTTAGGTCCCAGTCCGATTGTTGGTCCGGGAGGGGTTGGTAATGATTCCAAGGGTCCCAACATCCTGTTTTTCTCTTGGGTTCTCACATGCAGAGACTTAGGTTTCTTGTGGGTTGAGAAGTGAATTTGTGGTCTCTGCTCAAGCAAAAGGAGCTAATTCTCTGACAAATTTAATTTTTTTTTTTTAAATTGTTGTCTTACAAAGCAGTAACAACATATGGTAAATACTCCCACCACTCCCCAAGATTTCTAGTGTGCAAATACAGTGTCTGTAGCTTACAACAACTCCAATGGCAGCTGTGCAAATAAACTTGCATTTTAGTGTTACAATACCCAGTATGTCACAGTACCCACACAAAACCCAAAAACCCCAGTAACAGCATCAAGAAACATTTCATCTAGGCTGGTTAAGTTCACAGTTCAGGTGCAAATCTGAAAATATATCCAGTATCTAGAATGTGTATAACTCATTTCATTGGGTTTTTTTTAACCTGGATTCCATTTGAATGCTTTGTAGTATGCATAAATCTGTTCTTATTTATTTATTTTGCTCTCTGCTGTCTTTTTGCTTTATAGGTCAGGATTTTAGTAGCAGAAGGTACTACCTTGACAGACCTTCTGGAACTCCACCTTCATAAAGTAGAAGATGAAGCCCAATGTATAGGTGACAATGCTGTGAAAGAGTTGTGTACTGAAAAGGTGACAGGTGTCCATTTTTTTTCCTTCTGTTTGTTTTTTTTTTTTAGAATAATATGTAAAAAAATATTTTTTTATTAAGTTTTGTTTCAAGAAATTAATGATAGAAGTGAATATCTTCAAATGACTTACCTGGGGAGCAAAATTCACAACCTAGTGAAACTGATTTTTTGTCTGTGATGCAGTTTACTGTCACTGTGAATTAAATATAATTTAATTAAAGTTCTCAACTCAAAATAAGAAATGTGATATGTATAGACAGATGTTATTACTCTTCTTGTTCCCAGATTTTGGCAGAAACCCGCCAAGCATGGGCTGCCATGGGATTTTCTAACAAAGA